CTTCATTCTCTCAATTGGGCCCCCCACTTTGAAAACCGTGGCGCCGCCCCTGTAACAGGTATACCTATACGCCCGCGAGAACGCACTCACATAACAGAAGCTATATAGGTGGGGGCGGACATCCGGGAACTTTGGACTATTTGACCGGATGTAGATTCGAGCCGATGAAAACAAACCGTAGTAACGCACCGCTCAATGCACGCAGCGCATAGTGCCAAGGAATTATGTGGTGTTTGGATGCCGCAATCAGTCTTTCAAGTGACAAAAAACGATCATTCTTTGAGCTGCCGTAGCCCGAGAGGAGAGACAGGTGGCTAACAGCAATTAGTCAGGAGAACGAAGACGGCGTAGCAATGGTGGGAAACAGTGGGAAACGGGCGAGTAGTCTCGCTGAAAAGCAGTTTTTTGCACACTTCCTGTGAAGTCACATGTTTCTCGGTCGAAATGAACAAAGAAGACCTTTAAGAACACCCCTGTCGAGTTTAAAGGGGCTACCCCCACATTTACGGAAATGACATAGGTCTCAATCTGGACATCATCTCTATTCTTGAACAGCAGCGGCTCCCATTCGGGCGGTGTCTATATTCAAGCCGGTACGGGAGATTACGGTACGCATATATTTGCTAATATATTGACTAATCGTGCGTCAATAAACTCAATATTCACAGAGAGTATAGCTAAGACATGTGTCTATAGGTATCTAGAATATTAAAAATTTAATCATCTGAAATTTGCTTCCGCGCGCATAACTAATCGTGCAGGACTAGCATGACTAATCGTGCCGCTTCGTGCGTCAATAAACTCAATATTCACAGCTAGTAGTAGTATGAATTCAAGCCGGTACGGGAGATCTTTTGCATAATACATTCTAGACACCTATAGACACATGTCTTAGCTATACTCTCTGTGAATATTGAGTTTATTGACGCACGATTAGTCAATATATTAGCAAATATATGCGTACAGTCATCTCCCGTACCGGCTTGAATATAGACGCTCCCAGCCGATTCGCGCTTTGTTTTCATCGGCGCGGCTCACCGAACGTATTGCTAAGGGGAAGTGACGTCACTCCGCCCCCACCTATACCAAGTTTGGTAGCGCTAGGTCAATTAGGGGCCGAGTTATAGAGTGGAAGGGAAATATGATCAAGGCAAAGGTCAAATAAAGGTCGCAGTGACCTGGTTGTGGTACGCTGCGCACCTTCTCCCCAAGATGTGTAAGTATACCAAGTTTGGTAGCGCTAGGTAAATTAGGGGTCGAGTTAGAGCGGAAGGGAGTGTCTGCGGCGGCGCCGAGCGGCAGCTGGACAGACATGAAACCATAGTATCCCCGCGAC